TAAAATGGAATGTTACTTGAACTTGAACTTCATCTTAAATAACTTATTTCAATTTAATAAACATTAATGTCTAATTAATCCTTATAACTTGATCAATACTCAAAACTAAGCTAGGCTCGAAAATCATTTGCTCGGTAATAATCTTAACTCGTAACCGAACATGCTTGGTTCGGTTCACGACTTATCTTGAACGAGTCATCAAAATATACTCGATTTCTATTATTCGTCATCTTATTATAATTAATCCCATCTTATAAATCCATTTATAAAAATAAACAGACCGGAATTAATTAATTACTGAACTGGCTCGATTACTAAATAAAATTTAACCGATAATACTTTCAACTTAAAGTCGAACTTTTAACTGAATAACTTAATAACTGGGCTCGAAACTAGGAACGAGCATTATTAATAAAAGTAATTAGTTCAAACTTAGAACTAAAATAATTACTTTTATTAATTACTGAATGGGATATTACACACACGCACATATCACGGCTCGCCACCGCCCCGTCCGCCGTCCCCCGCCTCCCGCCACCTTCAGGCAGCCCATCCCCGCAGTCCACTGCCTCCCGCCACCTTCAGGCCGCCCATCTCCGCCGTCTTCCGCCTTCCTCAACCTTCAGACCGCCCGTCTCCGCCTCTAACACACACACACGCAGATCAACACACAGACACACACCTTGATCGGCACTCTCACGTCCGGCCACCCCACGCAAAGACGCTGCAACCACCGATCCGCTCACAGCCGCCGTCGCCCCAGCCGTCGCGACGCGACCCGCAACTTCCGCCGGCGTCGGGCTGAGAAATGTTCACGGTCACTGAGTTCCTAGCCATTTATGGCTTTCGAATCAACGAAACAGGGCTGCGGTAGGGGTGCCGCCGAGTTCGACGACGCCACTTTCATCTTCCCCCTGTGAGGCGGCGGCGACGCCGCACTGTTGGCGGATATGGGAGACAAGATGGAGAATATAATTGTGGGGTTTTTTGTGTAAATTAGATGAATAATATGGACCTATATGCAATTTTATAAGTTCTTGTATATTGCATAATAAGACATGGGTGATTTTGCAATTTACGAAAATATAATGAATTGCTAATAATGTATATTAAATGCATATTATTGGGTGAAGAAATGCACATTGGAAATAACAATATATTAAATATAAAATAAAAAATATATTAAATATTATATGAAATGCACATGGGTGTAGAAATACACATAAAAAAATACCAATATCTTTATATTCAATATATTTTTCCATTTAGTAAATTGAGCAAATGTGTAGTTTATATAAATTTACATTCAATATATTTTTCAATTTAGTAAATTGAGCAAATATGTAATTTATAGAAATTTACATCCAATATATTTTTTTCAACAAATAGTAATATCTAATATTAAACAAAATAATAAGTACCTACATCTTATTATAGATAAATATATAATTGCAAAAATAATGTTACTTAAAATACTCATTATTGAAATTTCTAAAATTGAAATTCACAAAAGAAAAATTGATCAATTGATTGCACAATAATGCTAGACAAAATGCACATTATTGTATGTGGTAGTGCACAATTATGGTTCAATATTTTATATATTGTGTCTTTTAAACCAAATTGTAATATAAAATATTGAATAATAATATTAAAACAATGAATATATTTTTATATTATAAATAATGAATATTATATTATTAGATTAATTCGGTCAATCGATCAAATAAACCGTTTATTTCAGATCGGTCTAGTTTGGTATGAATCAAATCACTAATTATGTCTGCCTTATAAGTGCACAATAGTGATAAACGAATTGCACATTAATAATTACCAGACTGCACATTAAAGACTTAAACTTTTAAACCTCAAATTCTCGGTTAGAAATTTTATATTACAGTTCGATTATATATTTTTTACTCTTAAATCACGGTAATTTCAGTTCAATCTCGTCTTTATTTTTAAAAATAACCGAAATGGCCAAACCGATCGAATAATAATAAAAATAGTATTATTATTATTTTATTATTTTTAACTATATTATTAATTAGCCCATGTGTCCAATTTTTAATTTACAGAAAATGTATAAAAACATATTATTTTGTATATATTTATATACATATGTAACTTATGTATTTAAATAAAAAATCATATAAAATAATTAAATAAAAATATTAAAATATAAAATATCTTTTGATAATATAAATAATAAATTAATTTTAACCAATCAAATAACCAAATTATTTCAGTTCACATAAAGAAAAGATCTCACACTGCATAATACACAATATAGTAATTAAGATGCACGTTAGTGAATATCATAATGCACAATAATGATAGATCAAGTGCACAATAACGGTTTTCACATATATTAAAAATTCTGTTAGTTTGGTTCATTGGTTGGATTTATTTAAAAATAAAATAAAATAAAAATAAATTTATTTAAAAAAAAAGGAATTACGAGAATCGACAAAACTATATAAAATATTTTTCTTTAAATTTTATTTATATACGTGTATTATTTATTTTCAACAAATAATGGTATAAAACAATAAATAAAAAATGTATTTATGTTTATTATATAAATATTACTATAAATGCAAAATATTGTTGATTGAATACGCAATATTAACGGTTTCTAAAAAATTGAGAAAAAATGCACATAAAATAATCAATCACTATACTGCACAATAATGCTAAATGGAATGCACACCAATGTTAGGTGGTTTGCACACTAGTGAGCGTAAAATTGCACATTATCGAACCGAAACATAAAGTTTCCAAGCGAACTATATAAATTATTATTATTAATATTATTATTATTATTATTATAATTATTATTATTATTAATACATTTTTATGTGTTGGAAATGCACAATATTGTTAGGCAGATTGCACACAAATGAATATTAGATTGCACATTAGCGATCGAAACCGTCCAAACTAAAATATACGAAACGAAATTTTATATTCGTGTCGATTATCTAATTTTTATTTCAATTTCAGGATACGAACTACAATATGCATGATAATGTAATTCGATAATTTTGGTTAAATTGTTTAATTGACCGGCTAAATCAGACATTTATGTTTGGTTTTAATTTTGATTGTGATAAAAGAAAGTCGGTTCAATTAATGTCGGTTAGAGTGCATATTAACGACCAAAGTCGTGCACTATATTGTTAGATAAAATGCACATTAATGCCTCACAAATTGCACACCGTAGCAATCGAAACTGCCCGAAATTAATTTTTTGGTTCGGAACTTTATATATCGGGTTGATTGTCGTTTTATATTTTAAAATTTTGGTTATTACATATCCATGTCGACTTTTTTTTTTTTACATTTTTTATCAATATTTTATATTTATTAAATTTTAAAATTTACTATAAAATATTTAGGCTGTTAATTTATTTATATTATATATATTTTTTAAATGACAATTAATAAAATAATGGTTCATCCCCAATTGAACTCATCCCTAAAATTGAAAATCACGCACAGCTAAAAAGGGAGAAATCTGGCCATCGTCTCCCTTCACACTTCAGATCGCCGCCGGCATCTACGGTCAGCGGACGGTTGGAATCGAGTGTTCATTTAGCAGATGTGTTCAATCCCGCCGGCGGACCGTGTCAGCCTTGGACGTCTGAAATCGATGGCAAGCCACGGAGAGGAGATGGAGGCACGGATGGCGACGATGGTGTCTGTGGCAGAGGCGAAGCGGCTAGATGTCGGTGGCGATAATTGCAGACGGTGGCTGTGCGGCGGCGATGTGGTTGTGCAGTTGCGGGTGTGTTCCTGTGGCAGGGCTGGTGGTGGTTGGTGTCGATGGCGGGGCCGGTGGTGTTTCTAGTCGGTGGCGGGGTTGGTGGTGGATGGACTGGTGGTGGTCGGAGTGGCTATATGACGGTGGTTGATAATTACGAACGGTTGCCGAGCGGCGGCCGGTCTGTTCACGGGTGTGGCAGGGCTGTTGGGGGTTGGTGTCGATGGCTGGGCTGGTGGTGTTTCGAGTCCGGTGGCGGGGCTGGTGGTGGTTTGGGGCTAGATTGGTGGTGGTTGTGGGCGGAGCTGGTGGTTGTTGGTGGCGGTGATTGTGGTGGTTGGTGGCGGGGATGGTGGAGGTTGGTGGTGGAGCTACTGGTGGTTGGTTGAGGTGGTGACAGAACCAGCCGGTGTGTTGACGGCGGTGGTCGGAAGTCAATGGCCGGAGGTGGTGGAGGTGGAGGTGTCGAGGTGGTGCATCGGGGGAAGACCACCGCCTGGTTGTGTGTGTTGCTGCGTGAGGTGTGTGTGAGTATGTGAGAGAGAGAGAGAGAGTAGGTGGTGTGGGCCCCACTAGTTTAGATGGAAAAAATTAATTGACTAATGTACCCTTACTTAGTGGTCAAATAGATATATTTGACCACAATACGACCATTTAATTACGGAATTGCCACACCTTGTTTGACTGTCATTAATAAAATTTGACTTAATCATGGTCATTGATAAGATAAATTGAATGGTTCAGATTTATTCTTATTTCTTTCACTATCTACCATTGTCACTTCATCCCAACTCTCTATATATATATATATATATGTGTGTGTGTGTGTGTGTAAGGGATCATATGAGAATGAGAGTTATTGTGAGAAATAAAAATTAATAGTGATCGTTGGATCTGCCCAACCAATGACCGAGATTCATTCAGTCACCCACTTCACACATGTGGGACGCGGTGGCAGTCTCGTAAATAAAACCTAATTGGATGGTGAGATATTCATACAAGAGGTCATTATCGTCATTTCATAACAAGATGGTGGGGGTAAACGGCATTTTTCGGACCAATTGATGGCAGAATTAAATTAGGGTTCTCCTCTCACCTGCGAAAAGTCCTCTTCTTCCAGCGTAGAAAAGATGGCGACGATTTTATCTGTAGCGAGAGATTTTTGAACCGATTTTCACTCGGATTCTTATCATCGAGCAACGTACAGGTGAGATATTCTCAGATCTATAGAGCTTGAGTAAATTTTTGTTGTCATTGTGCTCACGGTAATTTTTTTTCCTTTATTTTTTATCTTAAAGTTCGGGTAATAGTGGACGAGTTTGGAGAAAGGGAGCTCGCATTCGAAGATGACAGGTTATGTTGAGCCCGATTTTACAATATTTACATATCGTTTAAATTTGTTGGTTGTTAATTAAGGTTAGGGCTACAACGACTTTTTCAACGTGCTTTATTTTTTTCGGTTTTTCCTGTGAAATTGTTGTGTGCTATGGTTGTATCGTGTGAATCCTTCATTCTTTTAAATTAACGTTTAAAAGTTTGTGTCATTCTTTTTGGGAGCTGATTGTTATAGATAATGAGTCTGTGTCTAGAATGTCGGATCTCTGTGTCTCTCTTCCGGCCTTGTTTGGTTGCNCAATTGAAGCCTTTTTTTTTGTGTTCTATGACCTGTTTCTAATTTGTTCTCCTGTTTCATAAAGAACCTGTTTGTGTCTGAGTCATTAGTATATTGACAGTTATCTGTGTACATGTTTTTTAATTCGAGCTCTAATGTCAGAGTTTATATGTCTATATAATAGTTACCGTGTATTGTGTAGGTCTTAACAACGAATCAAATGATCCGGTAGCTGGGAAATCTGGTGATAAAGGTCAACACGTTATTCATTTTAAGAGTGGTGGGATATATTTTTATTACATTTTATACATGACTGATATTAATATGGTGATATAGGTTCTCAATCAGTCGTCCAAAGTGTACCGGTTGGGTCTCCAAGTATATTGTTCTAGTATGGTCCATGAATGTATTGTTCCATTTTTTGTTTTATTGTGATCTTAACTTTTGTGAAATTATTAG